GTTTTGAGAAGATTGAGGCTTCTGATTCTGGATTAAATCCTTGAGGTGATCTCAAATGCCTCAAATGATTCCAAATATCATTTTCTATGCAATCTGCAATAAGCCAATGCAATTCTGAATAAGATAACACGAGGACACATTTTGTGACAAGTCAGCACAGATCTGCTTATTGTCTTCTCTAAAAGCCTTCACATTAAGGCATAAATTTCAATGGAAAACCAATTTGACGATCTATGAATTCACTATCCAATGCAACTTTAGGAATACAAAGTTGTTTCTCCTTCCTAAAATTGCTCTATTTTGTAAACTTACTTGATTCACTAAAGTTGAAGTGATATTTAATATGGTTTGGGAATTCACATATCAAATAGCTATTTTCAAGGTAGTCACCAAAGCATTTTGATCATCTACTTTCATAGTTTAAATCAGTACCTCAATCACTGGATGCCTTAAGTCAAGGTCAGAGGGATGACCTCTTATTGGGGATATTACTGATAGGAGTAGATGACCTCTTTGTTTTCTTCCAAGTTACATTCTGTGACTCAATATCAATATCAAATATGGCCATCTTTAGGGGCCCAGCTCAAGTTCTACCTCCTCAATGAAGCCTTCTCTGATAATTTCAATGCAGACGGGTCAAATCCATGGCCCACAAAACTCCTAAGTGTAGCCCACACCAGATTCAAATGCAACTGGGACATATTTAACAAAATAAAAATAAAATGAAATATGCAACCTGCATTGTCCCGCAACACTGCTCTAACTAAGGTACAGCTCAAGCTTTAGGATTTTGTACTTATCAAATTCATAAGAAGTTCTCGTTTCTTCACCATCTTATGCAGAGGTTCCCAAACTTATTTGGCCTGCTTCTCACTTAAAAAAAAAAAGTTAGTCAGTGCCCTCCTGGAAATCTACTTTCTTTAACCCTTTAATTTTTTTTTTAATTGGCATCATTTCTAAAAAATACATAACTTTCTTAAAATGACGCATCTCAAATTTAATAATTTATTGTAAATTTGTGGGTTTTTTCCCTGCATTGAAATTTTGATGATGCAATATTGTGTCATGTAACCATATAATGCTGTAGTATAAACAAGTCATTATACACACATATTCCTGCCAATGCATGCTGGACTTCCTGACAATGCACAACATACTCATCTATCAACATTTGCTTGTTAAGACCTGTCGGCAGACCTCACCACTGATCAGTTATCACTTGCGTTTTGTGTTTATTTGGAAAATAATGTAATCACTGTAACTTTAACTGTTACACAACAGATGAAACATTTACCAATAGTTTTTCAAAATTTTCTCCTCTTCTCTTCTTTCCTTATGCTTCCACTGCCTCCTTTTTATTCAATGCTTCCCAATTGCACCCGAGGCTATTACTGCTCCCATGGATCATTCCAGCACCCCCTGAGGGAAGGATGGTATCACCCACTTTGGGAACTTATGTACAGTAGCACCTAGTTAAGCACTTAATTTTTCTCCGTTAATTTCATATGTTACTTTTGCCTCTCTAGCACCTAGAATATAAGCAGAGGGCATGGATGGTATTCTTCTTATATAGCTTGCATAGTGCCTATCAAAAGCACTGGCGACTGGCACATAGTAGTTAATCCATAACAGGGACTGATTAAATGTATTTTTGAATCAAGCACAAGCAGTTTTCCATTATGTGCCAAGTAGAGTGCCAGTTTCTGGGGAGACAAATACAAAAATAAGAGCCCTTAGCTTTAAATTTATATCCTAATGGGGGATACTATGCACAGACAGGGAACTGGGTGTAGGAAAGAAAGTTTAAAGATAGGGAAATTGGTGATAAATGGTCAAAGGATATGAACAGGCAATTCTCAGATGAAGAAATTAAAGCCATCTATAGTCATATGAAAAAATGCTCTAGGTCACTATTGATTAGAGAAATGCAAATCAAAACAACTCTCAGGTACCAAATCATACCTATCAGATTGGCCAACATGACAAAACAAGTAAATGATAAATGTTGGAGAAGATACAGGAAAATTGGAACACTAATGCATTGTTGGCAGAGTTGTAAAATGATCCAACCATTTTGGAGAGCAATTTGGCACTATGCCCAAAGGGCTATAAAATTGTGTACACCCTTTGCCCCAGCAATAACACTTCTAGGGCTATATCCCAGCCAGATCACACAAATGGGAAAAGGACCCACATGTACAAAAATATTTATAGCAGCTCTTTCTGTGGTGGCAAAGAATTAGAAACTGAGGGAATGCCCATCAATTGGGGAATGGCTAAACAAGTTGTGGTATATGAATGTAATGGAATACTACTGTGCTATAAGAAATGATGAACAGGCTGACTTCAGAAAAACCTGGAAAGACTTGATACTAAGTGAAGTGAGCAGAATCAGGAGAATGTTGTACACCATAACAACCACATTGTGCAATGACTAAGTTAGACTTAGCCCTTCTCAGCAATGCAAAGATCTAAGACATCTCTCCAAAAGTCTCATGATGGAAAATGCTATCCATATCCAAAGAAAGAACTATGGAGTTTGAATGCAGATCGAAGCACATAATTCGCCTTTTTTTTTTCTCTTCTGTTGAATTTTGTTTCCTCTTTCTGGTGGTTCCTTCTATTGGTTCTAATTCTTCCTTACAACATGACTAATGTGAAAATATGTTTAATAGGAATGTATATGTAAAGCCTATATCAGACTGAGTGATGTCTTGGTGAGGAAGAGAAAAATTTTAAACTCAAAAGCTCATGGAAGTGATTGTCAATAAATCAAAATAAACTAATAAAAAAAGATAGGGAAATTGGAAGTTTAAAGATAGAGAAATACAGAGATTGTGAGCAGAACCAAAGGACAGTCAACTGTCACCCTTTATAGCAGCACTGATTTAATTACTGTTTCTAGAACAAGCATAAGAAGTAGTAAATCAGAGAAAAATGACAGAAAGGCAGATGGCAAGATTGAGTAGGTCCTGGTTTCCTGTGGCAGAGTTGGATGAAATGTGAAGCATAAATATGAGTCCAGCTAGAGACAGTGGGCAAGGGAGTTTTCATTCACTCACTCACCAACTGGACAACTCAACTGAGTACATGAACATTAGGGGGCACAGGGAAGCACTTGGTCTGTGGAAGTCTGGGTCTGGAGGGTTTCTGTTCCTAATGTGGGAGGGGGATAGCAGCTGGGCAGATGGCAAGATGCCAATACAGGATAGGGGTCACTCTGGTGGATGGCTAGGAGGAATGTGGGAGGATGTGGAGCATGGTCTGAAATCAATTTAGCTTGTTTCACACTAAATACTTCAGAAATAAAGCAAGTGCAAAAAAGAAGGTCAAGGCAAGAAATGAAACAAAATAGCTAGCTATAAATAATAAACACAAGGATCTTGCTGGCGACACCTAAAGGAACTGATTTTAATGGTTACAACAATATGCAAGACTGATATCTCTCAGTATCAAAAAACATTAGTCATCCAAATAACTTACATGCTAATGATAAAAACAAATGAGGATATGTGTTGCTTATTAATAAGAGCCCAAGGAATGAGCAAACTGTGTTTAGTTCATACATGGGACTTCATTACTGCTGCTACTTCTCTCTAATGTCCAAAAATAAGCACACAACATTCTAAGAAACAATCAAGATTTTCTGACTGAGTTTTCTATCTCCTCTTAATTCATGCCTTGGACAGTTCATCTGTAACATTCTCATGAACAAAAGCACGTTTCATGCCATGGAATAAAGTGAGGTTCCGCATTTTTAGTTTTCTGTCAATACTTTCAGGAACATATCTACATTACTAAAATAGAGTAGGCATATCTAATATAGTTTTTTTTTAAATCATAGATCTCAAAGCAGTGTGAGAATTAAGTTGAAGAACATATGATTCAAATACACAAACGGTTCTACTTGTAAATTTAAAGGGGATTAAAGATTCAAAAGGTGGTATAATTTGGAATTAAAGCAGATGGACACATTTTTTGTGATCATCGCCAATAAACTAAACAAACCATGAAGATGAGATACCATTTAGTATGAGAAATCTAAAGTGTTGATATTTATGTTTTAGCAAATAACTGCCTAGAAACCTGAATATCTGATTAAAGTCCATTCCTTTAATGTTATTAACTTTTCAGTTTAAGATTTCTCTAAAGGTAATGCTGAATTCTGTGGTAAATTATTAGTCATTTGAGGACTAGTCCCATTTAGTTCAGTGAGATTCATCATCAGAAGGTTGCCCACAAGATGATGCATTTATATTCTGGTATAATAAAGGATAAAAAACAATTTTCTACGATAGAAAGAAATTACAATCTATATACCACGTAGCTGAAAAAATTCTTTTTATGTACTTAAGTAGTGGAAAAAGCACTAGATTTGGAGTCAAAGGATCTAAGTTCAAAACCTGTGTTTGCTATCTGTTTGACTATGGACAAGTCATTTAACTATCTGGGCCTCAGTTTCCTCAACTGTAAAATAAGACTCGGCCTAAATGATTTCTAAGGCCTTCTAACTTTAAATTCTATAAAACTCTGCAAGTGTGAGATAAAAAGTCACCAGAAAGTCAATTTTAATACAGATCCTGGTGAAGAACCACTTTTTTCTCCACACTGGCAGCCCACCAAATCTAGGAATCACTCACCTAAATACCTGGACAAATGATTCTATAGCAGGAAAAACTAAGCAATACAGACTCTATGGAAAGACTAAGGACCCCAACCAACTTGAGAATTTAGAATTTAAACACCTTAAAATTTATAACATTTTTAATTTTTAGTCTCCAAATAAAAGAATACCTACAAAAAAGAAAACATATATGGTACGTGGTGACCAAATAACTAAATATACATTTATAAATGAAGGACTACGTTCAAAATTCACAAATGTTGTATCTTCAACAGGGTATGTTAAGGTACCAACAAGAATGGTAAGGGAGAATGATTTGGGGTGGAGAGAGAGAAAGAAAACCATTTAAGGGAAAAACACTTCCATTTTTATTTACCTTGGTGAGTCATAGTGACTGTCTCTTCATTAGATTTATTGTTATAGATGACTACAGCAACAGCATTGTGGAAAGCTGCCCGGGATATTTTCTCTTTAAATGTACAGTTTCCTCTTTGCAGCAAAGCAATCCATTGTTTGATGTCAGGTGGGACATGGAACCGTGTTTGGGGATCACAGCCCAGATGATCTGCAACTTAAAAAAAAAAAGATATTTCAAAGATTTGGTCAATTTTTTGTTTTTAAACAAAATGAAATGAGTCATTTTTTGGCCAAAGTGACTACTCAGTATATAATTTTTGAAAAGCTTCTGGGCATTATATACACAAAAGGCTGAATAGGTTTCTTGCTTTTAAAACATTCTTAGATTTTTATGTAATACTCAACGACCCCATATGCTACCACAATAGTGAATCTGTGCTTGAGGAATCTTGCTCACTGACATTTTTAACTCCTTCAAGTGATGATGCAATGCCATACTGGAACGAACACACACACACACACACACACTCTCACACTACATCAAAATGTTTCACATGCACAGATATCACCATGCAGTTCACTTGCACTGAGAATTACTGTTTTCTTAAGTAGTAAAATATATTTTTTGTGTAAAGTTAGAACAAGCAAATGATTAAATTTATAAACTTTTAATATGTGATACATTTGTAATACTTAAAAATAATCATTTCTTTCTCTAAAAATTTCTCATATTTACCACTGGAAGAGGAGGAGGACTCTTTTATTGACATCAATAAATAACAAATATAATGAAGTTCAGGTTCTTTCAAATTCTTTGCATAGTATAACATGGTCAAAATTATCCAAGGTAAGTACCATAAGTTTTATGTGAAACATTATCTTTACAGCAAAAGATCATGCAATGAAAAATGAATTATTCAGCACTGCCTACAGTTTAGAATTCATCTTTCTAAATGAAAGGTCTTGATACATAACTGAAGCCAAAGAAAGACTCTTTATAATCCTCTGCCTGCCAAGCAAACTGAAGGTTTTTCCTCCAGAAATCCAATCTTAGTCAAACTGAAGAAAAATAGAATTCTACATTAAGATTACATTTGTTGACTTGTTAGAGTCAAGGTAGTTTTAAAAAACGTGATCATTTTAAAACTGACTATACTAAATCTTGGGGGAGAAAATTAGAAACAGATTGTTTTGCTCCGGGGGAAGTGTGTGTGTGTGTGGTGTGTGTGTGTGTGTGTGTGTGTGTGTGTGTGTGTGTGTGTGTGTGTGTATGAGTGTTTCCTACTATAATTTCATGTGTTCTTTTTATTATGTGAGCATTTTTGAGCAATATTATCTTAGCATTATGATCTTAATTTCAGCATGTTCTACGAGAGAAGAAATGAACTGATTTCTATGATTGTAATTGGGGCTTTTAAAAATTAAGTTTGGACTTACTAGCTGTGTGACCCTGGGAAAGTCACTTAACCCCACTGCCTAGCCAAAAAAAAAATTAAGTTTGGATAGATTCTTGATTTCATTGGTATAAAACACAGATGTAGATACCAACCCTCTCCATGTCTTCTCACACTGTTATTCTCATCTATGACTTTCCATAAACAGCCCACAGAGGACCCACCCAAAGTCCTTGGGATGATCCTTTCACAAAGTATTTTAATAATGGGGTATCAGGTTGTCTATCTACTGTCTCTCATCACTACACAACCAGTCTGCCTCTTTTTCCTATTCAAAAACATCCTTCAGATGTCTTAAGTAGCACTCTGATTCCAACAAAGAGTCATTAAATGCCTACTATGAGTAGAGTGATGGGGACACAAACATCATCTTAGAGCACAATCTCTGTCTTTAAGGAACTTGCGATCTAATTGGAAGACGGGAGGGGGAAAACAGCAATACAGCAGAAGGGATAGAACACTGAACTTTGAGTCATAAATAACTGAGTTCAAAACCTGCATGAGCACAAGCAAATAGGTCACAATCTTTCAACTTCAATTTCTTCCTCTGTGCAATGGAAATAATACCTTTAGCACTTACCTGGCAGAGCTGTAGTGAGGCTCCAATGTCAAGTGCTTTGTAAGTTTAAAACACGATACAATTGCCAGTTATATTTAAATATACTAGGAAACTGGCCACTTGGTGATGAATTCTTTGCCCATGGGATTCCAAGAAAAAACTTAATTATTATTATTACAGAAATAAGTACTTAATAAAGTGAAGTGTTACAAGGTAAGAGGAAAAGGCTACACAAAATGCTATAAGAAATATGAGGGATAGATCATATTTTCAAGAGAGTCTGACCAGATAATAGGCTAAAGAAAGGTGTGTTGAAATTGTATCTTGTCCTGGTTCCCCTGACTACCACTCCCAACCTCTAGTTAGTACATAAGTGAGTCTATAAGTAGCTGGTATGAGGTAACAGTAGGAAATAAGAATACAAAAAAGAACATAGAAGTCACTTATAAACTATCTCATAAATTAAGAGCCTAGAAGCCATTTTCAACTGCCTCATAAATTAGCTGAGGCCACATCCTGAGACTATGTGCTAAAATAGGGGAAGCCAGCCAGGCCCCAAAGTAACGGCCTCTTAGTTCCACTAATTGCCCTCAGTCTGTAAGTTGCAGATAAGCTCCAGACATGTGCAGTAAAACCAGAAAAATCTTATGTAAATAAGGGAACCCTAAAGTAGTGCTGATAACTTTAAGGTGATGTAGATATATTAATAAACTAAGCCTCAGATAGCATGAATAAGAGTCCCTCCCTTATCAAAAGCCTTTAAAACTGTCACCTCAAAATCATGTCCCTCTGTCCCCACAGCACTCTTCCATGTGCTACCAGTCCATGCTGCCCAAGAGCTCTCAGCTCTGATCTGTGGTTACCTAAGTGACTGTGCCCCTTTCCCTCCTGTTCTCTTCTCCCCCACGCCTCCACCTCTCTCTACTACCCCCATCCTCCACCTCCCACCCCATGCCTTTCACCTCTGTGTTTTCTATGCCTTATTGAAGTGTTATTGATGAATTACTCTCCTGCTTGCTACCACCATAGTCTTTCCCAAGTTTACTCAAATCCAATGAGACCCCTTTGCTGTTCCCTTCCTACAGCTCATAAACTGGGGGGCCCTAGGCTGATACTATCTGTTCATAGCCACCCCTATAGTGGACAAACATGGCACTGTGAATCCATTGTTACAAAAAAAGGAATGGACAGAAAATCTCAAGCCCCACTCCCTCAGGAAGGACCCCCTCATTGTTGGATTGTAGTAAGCCAGTCATTCAAAAGGAAAGAATTCTAACAGGTAGAAATGTAGAGGGAGTTTGTCAGGCAATGAGGAATCAGGTGACCTGTGCAAAGATTAGTGAAGTGCCAGATTAGATTAGGGAACAATTAGCTGTCAAGTTTGGCTAGAACATGTATGTGAAGAAAAGCACCATGAAATGTGACTGGAAAGATAGGTTGGAACAGGACTATGGACAGCCTTAAGTACCAGGATACAGAGTTTGTATTTTTATCCTTTAGATCAATTGGTGACTCTCAAAGTAGGGGCTGAAGACCCTGGAAGTCTCCAAGACCTTTATAGGGAGTCTGTGAGGCAAAAATTATTTTCATAATAATACTAGGACATTTTAATATCTAACATAGTCATTGTCAATAGATTTAAGCCACATAAACAAAAGCTCCTTGGGAAGCCCCCAATAATTTTTAGACACGTAAAGCATTCCTGAAACCAAAAAGTTTGAGAATTGTTGATCTAAATAATAGACATCAATGTTTGTTTGACATGGTAAGACCTAAATATTAAGACAGATTAGAAAAGGTAGAATCTAATGGCAAGATGAGCTTCTATGAAACAGTCTAGATGAAAGGCAAGGAATCAAGTCAACAAGCATTTATTAAATATGTACTATTTGCCAAGCACTGTGCTAACCACTGGGGATATAAAGAAAGGCCCCAAATTCCCAAAAAACCAAAACCAAAACCAAACCAGTCCCTGCCCTCAAGGAGCTTGGGAAAAGAGCTCTTTCTCCTCTACAAGAAGAGTTAATGGAGGAAACAACAATGTATGAACAAGATATATACTGGATAAACAGGAAATAATCAATAAAGAGAAGGAACTAGAGAGAACTAGAGAGGCTTTCTGTAGAAGGTGAGATTTGTAGCTAGGATTTGCAAGAAGCCAGGAGACTAGGATGAAGAGGGAAAGCATACTAGGCATGAAGGACAGCTAGTGAAAATGCATTCAGAAGATGGAAGGTTTTATTCAAGTGAAAGAAAGGAGGCCAACATTACTGGATTAAAGACTACACATGGATATGGGGGCATATGGGGTGTGTGTGTGTGTGTGTGTGTGTGTGTGTGTTGGTAGTAGTTTAAGGTATAAGAAGCCTGGAATGGCAAGGAGCTGTAATTAAAGGCTCTGAATGCTAAACAGAGAATTTTATATTTGATCCTGGAAGCAATGGGGATATATGGGACTTTATTGAATAAGGAGATGAAATGGTTAGACCTGTGCTTCAGGAAGATCAATTTGATAGCTGAGTGAAGGATGGATGTACTGTAATGCGGAGAGACTTGAGGAAGGGAGACTAATCAGAAGGCTACTGTTATAGTTCAGGAATGATGGAATGAGTACACCAGAGTGGTAGCAGTGTCAAAGCAGAGAAGGTGGCATATATAAGAGATGTTACCAAGGCAGAACTGATCGGACTTGACAACCAATTGGTTATGGGAGGTAAGAGAGGATGAGGAGTCAAGGATGATCCCGAGCCTGAGAACCTGTGTGACTGGGAGGATGGCCTTGACAGTGATAGTACAGTTAGAAAAAAGGAAGGGTTTCAGGTAAAAAATGACAAGTTCAGTTTGGCACATGTTGCATTTGAGATGTTTAATACGTAGATGTGTACCTGGAGGAGATCAGGCCTGGACAAATAGATCTGAGAATCATCTACATAAAGATAAGAGAATCCATGAAGACTGATGAGATCACCAAGTGAAACAGTATATAAAGAGAGAAGAGGACACCCAGGACAGTGCTCTGGATAGCACCATGGTTAACAAGTGAAACCTGGATGAAGATGCAGCAAAGAAAACTGGGAAAGAGCAGTTAGAAAGGGAGCAGGAGAGGCAAGACAGAGCAGTGTCATAAAAATCTAGAGAAAACAGAGTTATCAAGGAGAAGACAGTGACTGATGAATAATGTCACTGGCTGCAGGGAGGTCA